GAAAAAATAGTGATGCATTTTTTGGAAACAATCAAAATAATCACAAAGATTATTTTATAGAATCATAGCATCATAGAATAGCCTGGGTTGAAAAGGATGTTAAAGATCATCTAGTTTGAACCCCCCTGCTGTGGGCAGGGTCACCAACCACTAGACCAGGCTGCACAGAGACACATCCAGCCTGGCCATGAATGTCTCCAGGGACAACCTGTTCCAGGTGTGTCACCACCCTCTGAGTGAAAAACTTCTTCCTAATATCTAACCTAAACCTCCTCTGTCTCAGTTTAAAACCATTCTCCCTTGTCCTATCACAATCCACCCTCATAAACAGCCATTCCCACTCCTGTTCATACACTCCCTTAAGTACTGGAAGGCCACAATGAAGTCTCCATGGAACTTTCTCTTCTCCAAGCTAAACAAGCCCAGTTCCATCAACCTTTCTGTATAGGAAAGATTCTCCAGCCCTCTGATCATCTTAGTGACACTCCTCTGGACCCATTCTAAGAGCTCTGTATCCTTCTTGAGCTGGGAGCCTGAGGGCTGGACACAATAGTCCAGATGGGACCTCACAAGAGCTGAATAGAGTGGAACAATCACCTCCTTCTTCCCTCTGGTTATCCCTTTTTAATGCAGTCCAGGATACAGTTGTCCTCCTGGACTGCACACGCACATTGCTGGCTCACAACCAGCTTCTTGTCTACCAGGACCACCAAGTCCTTCTCCAAAGCGCTGCTCTCTAGCAGTTCTTCAGTCTACATATAAATACCTGGGATTGCCCCAACCCAAGATCAACATGCAAAATAAGTATGTCTCAGAGACTCAAGATCTTAACTACTACAGTGGAAAGGTAGAAAAGAGAAATTCAAATGTGAGCAGTTGCTTCAACATGCAGTCCTCGCAAATTAATTTTTTAGCCTGATCTTGAAGGGAATGAGAAAATATCTGTTGATCTCCATCTGCTGGTACGAAGGTTTGTGCAGTATCCACTAACAAACTGCCATGTGAATTATTGCTCATTTCAGTTATTTAAATGTGATACTATGGCAGGATGCATGCACAAAAAAGCACAGTGCGTATGAGCCCCACTTCACATTTTGTGCAGATTCTTTTAGAACAACATTAGTTTCATGAAAACGGACAGCGCAGTGATAAATTTAGCCCCTAAACACTGAATGGTGAACCAGGGTCTGAAACCTTAAGAAGAGCTGCGAGAATCAGTGGTGGAACAACTGCATCTCCCTGCTGTGTAGGAACAGGAGACGAGGACTGCACACATGAGCAGCAGGGAACGAAAAACAACGAAACAGAGAGTGCTACAGCCAAATAAGCGTGGGAAGCTCCAGAGCACTTTGGTCTAGTTCATTTTGTTGACAAAACAATTGCCTTGTGATTCTCCACCCAGAAGGAAACTTACAGGGTCGTGACAATTAACAGTGCTGAAATCAGAATACGGCAGTTGTCAACGGTGGTCCTGCGCTGACAAAGAGATACTACAGGAGAATCTAGCTTATTGTTTCATAGAAATATGAGGATAGCCAATGAAGGAGGAAATTCAAGGCATTCTGGATTGACAGCCTCAAACAAGCAAGCCCCAGAACTCTGCCGGCCTAGCAGAGATTTCCAAACACTACCAAAAATAGCATGATATTAGGTTAGCAAAGCTAAAACCCAGACAGAATTAATTCAAGCCAAGGGCTTGAAACAAGAGGCAATTCTACAAGTATAACTGTGATAAAAAAGAAGGAAGAGGTAGGGAAGAGGTGGGCCCTCTCTGTAAGGAAACTGAAGACATGGTCATCATGAGGGGTATTGAGAAAGCTGAGGCACTCAAAGACTTGCTTGCCTCAGTCTTCACTGCTAGGGGCTCTAGCCTCACCACCCAAGTTGCAGAAAACAATGGCAAAAACTTGGAGAAGTACTGGTATAAGTGTAATGTAGGTTAAGGTTGAGGTTCAGTACCATCTAAGGTACCAGAAGGTGCACCAGCAAATGGGACCGATGAGGTCCATCCACGGGTTCTGAGGGAACGGGCAGGTGAAGTTGCCAAGCTGCTATGCATCATATTTGAAAAGTCATGGCAGTCTGATGAAGTTCCCACTGACTGAAAAAGGGGAAACATATCTCCATTTTCAAGAAGGTAGAAAAAGAAGATCCAGGGAACTACAGGCCACTCAGTCTCACCTGTGTGCCTGGCAAGATCATGGAGCAGATCCTCCTGAAGGCCCTACTAAGGCATGTGGAAAATAAAGATGAGGTGATAGGTGGCAACCAACATGGCTTCACTAAAGGCAAGCCATGCCTGACAAGCTTGGTGGCCTTTTATGACAGAGTTACAGTGTCAGTGGATAAGTCGGTGTTGGGACTGGTGCTACTTAAGATCTTCATAGGCGACATGGCCAATGGGATTGAGCACTCTCAGCAAGCTTGCAGATGACGCCATGGTGAGTGAGGCAGCTAAAGGGAAGGGAGGCTATCCTGAGGGATCTGGACAGGCTTGTGAGGTGGGCCCATTCCAAACTCACGAAGTCCACCCGGAATGGGGCAATCTCAAGCACACATACAGGTTGGGCAGAGAATGGCTTGGGAGCAGCCCTCTCCTCTGAAGAGAAGAAGGGTTTGGAAGTTATGTTTATGAATGATTCAGCACAAGCAGGCAATGTGCCCTTGTAGCCCAGAAGTCCAACTGTATTGTGGGCTGCATCGAGACAAGTGTGACCAGCAGGTTGAGGGAGCTGATTCTGCCCCTCTGCTCTGCTGAGAGCCCACCTGAAGAACTGCATCCAGTTCTGGGGCCTCCAAAGCAAAGACGTCAGTCTGTTGGAGTGAGTCCAGAAGAGGGACACGAAGATGACCAGAGATCTGGAGTACCTTCCCTATGAAGACAGGCTGAGAGAGCTGAGGATCCTCAGCCTAGAGAAGAGAAGGTTCCAGTGGGACCTCTGGGGCTTTCAGTACCCAAAGGGGGCCTAGGAAAAGCCAAGGAGGGACTTTTATAAGGGCATGCAGTGACAGGACAAGGGGAAATGGAAGAGGATAGATATAAGGAAGAAATTCTTTTCTGTGAGGGTGGTGAGATACTGGAATAGTTTGCCCAGTGGGGTTGTGATTGCCCCATCCCTGAACGTATTCAAGGCCAGGTTGGATGGGGCTTTGAGTGATCTGTTGTGGAGGGAGGTGTCCCTGCCTATAGCAGTGGGGTTGGAACTAGATGACCTTACAAGACCCTTCCAAAACAAATCATTCTATGTTTCTATGATTCTATTAATGACAGTCTGTATAACAGCATAATAAATCTGTATTTTCTTTTCACAATGAAAACAGAAGAATTAGGCAGATACGCTGTTATTTAAAAAAATATGTATAAAATTTTGACCATGTGCAATTCAGCATTAGACATAAAAATGAAATAAAATATAGTTATCCATTTTACATGTATTTAAAAATTGTGCTTTTAAATAACAGTTTTTAAAACACTATTTTTAATAGTTAAACATTAGCATGGTATATCACTGTAACTTTATTTGGGGTATGTAGAAATGCCAGCTGGTATGTGTACAGAAAGTGCCTTATGATATATATGTAGTTAATCTTCTGTGTAATATTCATAGATCATGGTGAAGGTGAGCTGACCTAAAAAGCAGGTCAACAAACTTAACTACTTAAAAGTTTCTGTGCAGTGTTAGTGATGAATTTTCAATATCTGTTCAGGTTTCTGCAGCTAGTGCGGCTACATATATTCCCTTTTATTTGATGTGATAGTGGAGAAAGGAAAGGTCATTGTGTTTTATTTCTATTTGTTTGATTGCTTGTTTGTTTTAAAAATAATACCCAAGTGAGTTTGAAAGAAGACATACTATATAATTCCCATAAAAATTATTTTTGTTTTCTTGTTTGAATCAGAATCTATTTTTGATGGCAGAATATTCAATATGACGATGCCACCTACATAATTCCAGAAGTGACAAAATTCTTCACTATTTCTATCTTTTGTTTTGCATGGAAACATACAGAAGAGGTCTTTGCTTCTTTTAGCCAGATGTAGCACATTTTCTTATTGTAGTAAAACTGTTTACTACATTTTTTCAGTTTAGAGAATGAGAAAGTTCATCATCAGTCCTGCTGATGATATTTTCAGATGGAAAAAAAAAAACCACAGGAAAGCACTTTGATCCTCCCAGTGTTAGTGACTCTGATAGGAATTTATATTTGGCATTTTAACAATTTGACCTGAGTTAGGGTTCCACATTAATTATATAAATAAATTACATTTATTTGCTTATTTATTTTAGCTTTAGCAAAACTCTTGTAACAGAAGATATGTATCTGGAACACTAGATTTTTTCTGTATGTTTGTGTGCATAATGTGTTGGGAAAGGAAAAAAAGCTAAACGGTCTTAGTAGAATGTTTTTAGCTTTTTTTGTTTCAGCTGCTGGCATTCAGCTGGGCTTGCTGTCTCTGTATCTATGTATTTAATTATTTATTTTATTTACGGGTTTAAGTTCAAAAAGTGCAAAAAGAGTGCTGTAATAAGACTTCTAGAGTTTCATAGTTGTTCGGAATGTATTCATACTCCTCAAATTATTCCTGCTATTTCATTTAATACAGTTATAAAAATGTGACAATACACTGAGTTATTGAAGTAGTGTATAGACTTTTGTGTACATACAGTACATATTTAAATGACCCCATGGGTCTCCCAAAGCAAGCTTTTAACATTCCAGATTTTTTTGCTGTGCATCTACTACTGGCATGTAGCCACCCACCCACAAGTTTTGTTGAAATAAATTAAATTTATTCCAGTTCACTCAAGAAGAAGACTTGTAAAACATAAAGGCAGTCACCTAGCTAATAAGGTTACTAAAACAAAGATTTTTCTTAAATGGAGTAGGGCTTTTTTGTGTGTTTTTTCTGTTTGTTTATTTTTGTTTCTGTGAACTGTGTGCACAATTACATAGCTTCTTAAATTCTCATCTTATGTTCCTTTTCTTTTCCTTTGCAGATGGGGTTTATACAGATTAATGAGGACTTCATATTTATTGAGCCACTCAATCACACTTTGGCTGTGACAGGTCATGCACACAGGGTGTACAGACGAAAAAGGTCCGTAGAGGAGAAAATTACTGAAAAACCAGCTTCTCAGAATCAGTACTGTGGTGTTGTTACAGGTAATACACAAATCTTACTGAACAGACTTAATGTAGTGAACATGTATTTAAGATCTGTAGGCGGTAGTTAAAAACCAACAACAGCATATTTGATTATATTTATAGTAGTAGCAACTTATTGTCAACTTCAAGGTGGCATACTGAGACTGCAGTTTTATCTGTCAAAAGGTGGAATCTTCAGTTGTGGAATAGACAAGTACAATGATCCATTATATCTGAAAGTAGAAAATGTGGGGCCATTTTATTTCAGTCTAACAACTACAACCGACTTGTGGGCCCAGTCTATTGTCTTAGTAGTTGCTGGTTTACTTATTTATGTGCAGTGCTTGTACTTACTGTTCAGTTTTACAACATAAGCACATCTCATCACAGTTTCAGTCGTTAATGTTTTGAACGTTCATGTGAGTCAGACACTGATGTTAAAAGACCTTTGTAACAGTGTTCATCTTTTATGGCTGTCACTTAAAATAAATGTGAAATTCATCTTCTGAACTGGGTGGTAGAAACAGTTTTTTCAAGAAAAGAGGCTTCCAAAAAAGTCTGGCACATAATGATCACTTAGTAATGTTCAGTGTAGAGGAGAAAAGGGCTTTTGTGGAAAATAATACTCTGCTGTTCCTGCTTAATTGATGGCTTCTTTTCTCCAGAGGAGAGAAGACATGAGTTGAGGATATTTGTAATGATGTTGTAGGAAATTATCATAAAAACAAACACGAGAGAGGCATCTGCTATATAACAATCCATGGTATGCATGAAAATGAATAAAGATGCAGACTCATCTGTAAGGAAATTATTTTTCTGTCATTTTCATTAGCAGTCAGCCTTTCACTTTTTCATGTCCTCTAAAATGGAAAAGTCAGCTTATTCTGTTCCAGTAATCTTATGCCCAAGGCTCTGACAGTGCAAATACTCTGTCAACAGAGATTCAAATATTTGTTTGAAGTTGGTTTTATTATCTCTACTACCAGTCTGGAATTTAAAAATAGCTCGAACTGTGAATAACTGATTAGCATCTTCTGGCATAACCTTATTTCCGGGAGGCTTTATATGTCTGCAGTTTCTGACTAATTCTGTTATACTGGCAAGACTAGTCCCTCCCTTTGATGTTACCAGTTGTGTTACATAGTGGAGCTGCAGTAAGCTATATTGATAGAAGTGGTGTCTATGCTAGGAGCAGTTGCTGTTGTGACAATACTTAGCATCACTAACATCACCAGAGAATTAATTTTATGGGTACAGCCTTAAAGTGGATTGCAGAAAGGAGAGAATAAAAAAAACAAACAGACAAAAAACCAAAACAACAGAATAGTCTTTTAATGCAATATTTGAGAATTTTAAACCGAATTGTCAAGTAAGTAGGTTAATGAAGATAAAACAGCAGATTCATGGAGCTCTCTGATGCTTTGGTACTCAGATTTTACACAGCTGCCTTGGAGAGAATTGCCCAACACAATGTAACTATTGTCTTACATATGCTTACTTCTCAGCAATATCTTACAACAGGATCTCTTGTTTCTGCAGTACTGGTGTGTCAGAGTAGGTGCTATGGAACAGGTATTTTTGCTGCTGGTTTTAAGCCAAATTGATCTCAAAGACTGGCTACATATCAAGCAAATATATATTGCCAATGATGAATTGTGATTGTTAGAAGGAATGAATGTCTTTGTTGGAGGTGCTGAAGGATCACTATATAATACATATAATGGCTTTTCATGCAGAATTAGGGGAAGCAATCAATGAAGGTATTGTTTGTTGTCTGTAACTGTTGTGTTCTGTGCTGAAAGATACTACATAGCCCAAGTCGTCTGAGGAAAGCAAAGAAATTGGTTTTGCAAATGGGCTGCTTTCTTTCTTGCAGTTTGGTGGAGGGAGAGAATAGGACTGATGAAAACGTTTACTTTCTGAACTTGTGGGAATGTGTGTGTGCCTTTTCACTGAACATGTGTATGATTTACTTACTTATGTGAGCCAGCTGCACATACACAGATCTCAAACGCTGCACCTTTCTGTAGCACATGGTCCATCCATGGTACCTTTCAAATCAAACCAGTTCACTGACCTGTTGCACAGGATTCATGAGAAAAGCAGTTGCTATTAGAACAAAGATCTGCCTAGATCTGCCTTGAGAAACTATGCACTATTCCTTCTGCCTAGTATGAGGCTCTTGTTCAAGCCTGAAGTTGTTTGTGCATTGTAGCTGGGTGATGGCAAAAGTACTCTAGGAAGAAAAAATAATCTCAAATGGTTGTTCTGTTTCACACAAACTGATGAGTGAGAGTGCTTGCACAAGATACAGTAGATGTGAATTTTGCATCCTTTCTTTGTTTGAGATGGAAGGCTCTTCTTTTACTTTTCTGACAATAAGCAATATTCAGTTCTTCTGAATTACAATCAGACCGTGCTCTTTAATTGATGCTATTTTTGTAGGAAAAATTTAGCAAGTTTTGCTGGACCAAAAGCAGAAGTTTGACTTAGTGAAGAATGGACTGGCAGCTGCAATAGCTGTGTTAGTCCTTGCTCTAAATGCAGTTTCCATCCAACAATCATGAAATAAGTGCATAAATAATCTTAGTTGTAGATATAGATTTTTGAGATTGTGCTAGAGGATACTGGTGCTGCTTGAGTGGTTGCTTTCCATTACATTCTTCAGAATACTGCAATTTCTGTAAGGTTAATGCATCCCTTTTCTTTTCCCTAGGAAAAGAAATCCTGGATGTTGATGGTGGTGGGTTCTCTTATTTGTGCTGGACTCGAGTGGATTCAGGAAATACTCTTGTGCCTGAGGGCTGGCAAGTGTGTCAGAGTCCTGTAGTCATAACTTCTTCACAACGTCAGCTCAGATACTTCTGAGCAATCTGTTGCTTCAGTGGCTGAATTTTCAGGGTTATTATTATTATTATTTTGAGAGGCTATTGAACGTCAAATGTTTCTAAACTTCTTGGCTGGGGTACTGGAGTATTTCTAGATTTCATTTCAGTCCCAGATTGTGAGTTTAAGTAATAAATTGATATGAAATCTTAATGTTCCTTATAACTGCACTGAAAGTCAAAGTCTTACTAATCACGGTGTTCTGGTTACATTTATATTTTATTTTTCTATTGTAATTTAGTTTATAAACTGAATTTCTGCATCTTTACATCCAAGAAGCAGTGTTTTGGTTTTGTTGTTGTTGTTGGTTGTTTTTTTTTTTGTTAAACTGACTTTTATCATTTTACTACATGCAATGTCAGTATAGATACTTTTTTTTTACGGAGTTGTTATCTGTTATGCAGTATACATTCATTAATGAGCAGTTCTGTTTTTGTATATGTGAATAATCAAGTATTTTTGCCTAAAACCTGTTTGGTCTGTTAGGTGGAAGTAATCGCAGTAGTTGTTTGGATGCCACTGCTACTAAAATTAACAATTCTATTTATTTAAGAGTCTGGAGGAAGAGCTAAAATTTTCAGATAAATGAGGTCTCACATGATGGGGAATTCTTCCAGCAATTTGGATAAGGCTGACTGGCCAAGAACAGATCTTCCTTTGGTTTGTTAACCCAACAGATATCTGAGGAAATGAGGGACACTGCCCCTTGCAGCCAGCTTGTCTGTGAAGCTGAGCAGTCTTCTTGTCCACAACAACCCAAAAAATAGAAGATACAGCAGTTTTTCGGACTGTGGTGCATTTAGCAAAGCACTGACTTAAATAGTGGACTGCTTACTTCAGTTCTGAATAAAAATTAGATCTCTAGGTAAAATATTAGAGAAGTATATTAGCAAACTTCTCAGAACTTCCATGCTGATACTAAATCAAAACTTTTCAACCGGTAGATGCTGTTAGTGAGAAAGGAGTGAATGATGAATAAGTGATATTGTTGGAAGCTATACTGGAATCAATCACTGCTCCTAAAAGGGAAATGATATCGATCAGATGGCTCATGACAAATCTTTTCTAACCCAAATGAATTTACTGTGTAAACTCAGAGCCTTAGCCTACTCATGCAGCCTTGTGTAGTAAGTCACAGTTGTATAGCTTGTAGGGTGTGTTTTCTTGGCACAAATATGGATACTTGACAGTACAGCTTCATTAAAAACTATTCTCAAAAGCATGAAAAAAACAAGTATGATGCTTTGTTTTATGCACTAGGCTCTGGATCCAGCCAGCAAACACAAGTATAGCATAGTGCTAGCTATCCATGTAAGGCTAAGCAAGCTGATTGAAGGATCAAAAGGTGGGAGGTTAAAATTTAGATTGTTTATGGATTTATCTAGTATTACTTTTTAGGAAATCAAAACCCAAGGCTTTATTTATTTCTGGAGATCATACGCTTTTAAAAAAAATTATTTCAGCAACTTATAGTGACAGTAGCAATGACTTTGAAATCCTATTAGTGCAGCTTTAAAAAAAAAAACAAACAAACACAAACAAAACAAAAAAAACAGTCATATTTTATCCTGCATATTCTTGACATCATTCATCTGAAATTGTCTTTCATCTTTACAAATCAGTGAATTTTTCTGGATACTTTCTTGGTACTCAGTTTGTGACAAATCTGTATTCATCATCTATTATGCTGAGATACATTGACTGTACATTTTCTCTATGCTTTATGCAGATACACAGTGATTCTTCAGCCTCAGTGAGACTACTTGTACGTTAAACAGAATATTAATTTAACTCTATCTTATAAAGCAAAGAAGGATGCGCCTACTATTTTATAAATATGTCATGTAGTGGGATGCAAAGAATCTGACTGTCTTTATCTGAGCAGCTGAATGATAGTCTTGTTTCCCTCGTGTGAACTTACATTCAGGCCATCAGTCTGAGCCTAATCGCACTGGCAGTGCTAAATAAGAATGTATTAGCATTCATGAGTATCACAGTGCACACAATCAGTGAGATGCTCTAACTACAGGTAGCAAATCCTTAAGGTACACGAGGGGTACTTTGAAAGATGTATTCTTCAAGCAATGTTTTTATGTTACAGATAAAAGAAAATCCAAGAATCAGAAAGTATCAGAAAGTGGAAGAGGAAAACGATACTCTTATAAATTACCTCAGGAGTACAATATAGAAACAGTTGTGGTAGCAGATCCAGCTATGGTTCTGTATCATGGAAAAGATGCTGCCAGAAGATTTATTCTGACCATCTTAAACATGGTAGGAAATTTAAAATTCATTTTGGCTTTTGCCACCAGTGCATGCGTAATGAACTGATTTCATTGCTCCTTTTTATTATCCTGAGAGAGTACCTGTAAAGAGACAGTCAGCACATGACCATTACCAGGCTGTCAAGATTTAACACATCTATTTTGCAACATAAAACCATGATGCTGCACACCAGTTTGCACCATCTGGTCTTATATCTTCAGCGATGAAACTAGAAAATGGGATCTGACCAAGGTGATTTTCTGGTTAGAAGACTATGATATTATTGGAAAGCTGGGGTATTGCATGATTTCTAATGATCTGTGCTTACTGTGTAAATGCAACTTTGTCATTTAGAAGGATTACGTGATCATCACAGTGGATAAGAAAAAAAAGTTAAGGCACTGAGTTGATTACAACCCCTCCCAGCTGTTGCTGCACTGCATAAAGTGCAGCAAGAACTAGGATCTGTCACGTACAAGGAGAGAACGTTCTGAAGAAGGATCATAAACTGAGAAATAAATAAAAATACTGTTTTGCATGAGAGGAAGGGTTATTCCCATGATCTTGCATTTGAATGAGTAACAGTTCTCATGTGAATAACTTTATATGCATGTGCAAGTATGTGGAGAAATTGGCCAAACTTCATAAAGTGGTTATGACCGTTGTCAGTGTGAAAGGTTCTTTCTGTTCTTCCAGAAGCAGTATTGCCTAATAACAAAATTAGTTTTAGGCTTTGTTGAAGTTATTCGAAGTAAAAGCAACCTCACTATAACATTAAAATTTTTTAGTTCTCTGAGTTTTGATATTTTTAGTCTACAGTGTGTTGTGTTCAAAACAAGTGCCTGGTTTTTTAAATCTTTTTAAAAAAAATTTTTTTTTTTTCTTCTTCTTCTTAGGTTTTTAACCTTTTCCAGCACAAAAGCCTTGGACTACAAGTTAATCTTCGAGTTACTAAGCTTGTCCTCCTTCATGAGACTCCAGTAAGTATGCATCATCTTTGTCTTAGTCTGCAGAGGACAATGCTACTTCAGCTTGTTGCTCTGTGAAGGCTTGTAATATTCATTTACTTTAATGGCCAACAGCTTTTCTCAGTTTTCTTTATGTATTATTTACAGTGCTTGACAGCCCCAGTAAAGATCAAGTTTTTGCTAATCTGAATGTTGTATATATTGAGATTCCTATGCTTGCAGATGAAAGTCAGTAAAAAAAAAAAAAAAATTCCTATGGAAAATCAGCTTGTGTACTGCTTTTTGTATATTCACATAACTCAATGACAGACTTTTTAAAACTTGGTGGATGGTAGGAGAGTTAATGTTATTTATTTGTCAGACAACTAGTCAACAAATGAAAGGTGCTGTGATTTCTTGTCATTTCTGTGAAGTATTATGGGAATCCTTTCATATTTTAATTAGTTCATAAGAAAAAGAGATCTCCCTATCTGTGTTTCAAATTTTAAAATATTAAAAGAAAGTATTTTGTATTCTCACAGCAAGTGAAATCTCATTTTATGTTCAAATTCTTCATCTTCACTGATCTTTTCTTCTCAATCAATAGTGAAAAGTTAATGAGTAAAGGGGGCAGGAGTTTAGGTGAACAGATTGTCTGTACTCATCTCAATACAGTGTCTTCAACTGCGTAACATAGCAGGGTAGCATTAAATTCAGAAACAGAAACTTTCATGCATACACTGTACCATGAAAGGGATTATACTTTTGCAAATTCAGTAAAAAAAAAAAAAGGCCTTAATTATATTGTGCAGAATCACAATTTTAACAGAATCAATACTTTTCATTTCTAGGCAGATATGTATATTGGACATCATGGGGAAAAAATGCTGGAAAGCTTTTGTAAATGGCAGCATGAAGAGTTTGGCAAGAAGAATGATATACACTTAGAAATGTCAACAAGCTGGGGAGAAGACATGTCGTCAGTTGATGCAGCTATACTTATCACAAGGTATTATTATAGAAGGATGAGCATTAAAAAATAAGGAATGGCATAATATGAATATTATGGATCAAGAACTGGTTAAAAGAGTTGATAGATGATCAACACAGACTTTAGTTTTGAGTGAGAAAGAGTAAAACTTGAGGCACCTTTCCAGAAATAGAAAATAGAAGTTAACTGAAAGTCTTTTTAGAGGCTGAAATGTTGAGAACAAGATGGTGTTAAAGAGGTGGAAGACAATAGTTAACATCTGAAATTACAAAGTTACTCTCCTATTTCTTCTTTGACTGTAGATTAGATGCTTCTTTCTGCATCTAAAACAGGAGGCAGCATACATAAGCCTGCAGACATATTTGTTCAAAAGACAAAAGCATATCTAGAGGATTCAGAACTGGATCAGCATGACATTAATCACATCACTATGTTATACTTCTTTGTAATGGTTCTAGAACAAGTGTGTCTTACTATGTGCCCGATGTACAGTACTCACTTTGCCAACACAGAAGTGTGATCTCAGATCTGTGATTAATTATAACATTATCAGACAGTTCACATATTCAGAAGGACACCTGCCTCCAACTTACCTCTTTCCTCCCAGGCAGGTGATCTTTAGGCTGTCCTTGGTGGCACAGGAAGATGCATCTTGATTGAACAGAGCACAGACATTTTCCAGTGACAAGGAGAATGATGATTCAGCTGGTCTAGGGTTGGGCCCAGCCCCATTTTTGCAACGGAGCTTGAACTGAATGAACTTTGGATGTTCCTTCCAAATAAGCCTTATTTGTTTGCATATATTGGAATACTTCTAATTCAGGACAGTGTCACTGGAAGTTATATACATTTTGTAAAATCAGGTTACATTCTAAGTATTCCAATATCTAAATTTCAGTTGTCCAAAGCAGAAAAAAACTTCTGTGAATTTTCTTGCTTTGGAGAACATGCTAGAAGCAGGGGGTGCTGAAATCCAGATCATCTACAAACATAGATTTTTTTTTTTTTTTTGGTACTTTTGCAGCTTAATCTCCTACCTTTCCTTAAGAAAAACCACATCCTTCACTTGTAACCCATTCTACTATTCATCGTTGTTCTGTCTGCACCATGGATTGTTGTTTGAGGACCAGTTTTTACGCATTTCTGTATTATTTAAGTGGTAGTCCTTCATTCAGGTTCCTTTGAACTGCCCTGAAAGACACAAGCGGTAATAAAACTAGGTAATACTATCTGTAATAAAATTTCCATTAATTAGAAAACATCTCTGGGCTGGCAGACTGGAGGGGGATTTTTCAGACCCTAATATTAACAATGAGTGTGTTGATGGGAAAAGAGTTGAGATGGCAAAGAAAAAGTCTGAATAGCAGGAAAGAGTGAATTATGCCAAGGCATGAAGAATGGCAAGTATCATAAGTTGGGCATTGGGCTGATGAATGGGACTAAAGGGAAGCAGAGCTTCTTGCACCTCAATGTACTCTTTGACGGTCCAAAAATAATTGAGTAGTACACTCAGTGTACTACTGAGTGTTGCTGAGTGACCTCTCATCTGTCTCTTGACTCTTGAATCAGTTTCAGTGTTTGCATCTTCTGCAGCAGCTTGAAGAAGCACTGAATTCTTCAAAGCCTAAACCATTGGCACTGCCAGGAGAGTGAGAATTTCTATGCCATTTTTGACAAAACTGGCTGTTGTCCCACACCTGATCTTCAAATCTGTCTTAGCTTAATGGGAAAATACAAAAAATTAGACCGATGTTTCAGTTTGTTGTCCAAGTCTGCACTTCTTAACTCAGGAGATGTGTTTCCACAGCAAGATACTACACATTAAAGAATTTAACACCTCTTCCCTCTCATTTGCCATTCTTTCCCTTGTAAGCCTTCATGAGAAGAATCAGGAGAGTTCTGAATTCAGGCAAATGAGGTCTTAGTTAAGGCAGTAGTTTGGAGATGTCTTCAGCAGACAATGCGTTTGACCAGAGAGCCTTTTAAATTTCATGTAACCTTACTACATTCTGGGGGAAGGAAAAAAAAAGGCACTACTCAGACTAAGCAGTGCTCAAAGTTTACAAATATCCCAGAATACTGGCAGTACGCCTGGTCTTTCAAGGTCAAGTTTTCCAGCACAAAAACCTGAACTACTGATAATGCTCCCTAACGAAGCTCTCTAAGAGCAGAGAGCGAGATTCGTTCTAAGAGCCAAAAAGCAAAAACCAAAAAAACAAAAGGCAGCTATGCCCGCATTCTCCACCAAAATCTGTCACGGAATTAACTAGATCAGTTTATGCCCGTGACAGGGGGCAGTAGGCCCCTGCCCTCCCCACCCCCCGTCTGGGCCCACAAAATGGGAAGGTAGGGGGAAAAAGGAAAAAAACAGCGGCAACAATCTATGGAGGTAAACTTATTTTACTAACTATGATATCGGAATGCAAAATAATACAATATAATACAATCTAATTGAAATTGAGACTAATAAATCAAATAAGATATGAGAGAGAGTTCCCGAGACCGAGTCAAACCTGAAAAAAGCTTGGAACGGCTAGGAAAGCACCCTCCAGCACCCACTGCCAGGCAGTAAGAGACCGTCCCCCCGGAAGGGTCAGATCCCATGACTTCCGCAATGTATAGGGATAGGTACGTAGAATTAGAGCATTAACACTTCCAGTACATGATGTTTTGATGTGGAATATTGAAAATCAAATAAAAAAAAACAAAACCATGACACATGGTAAAAAAACTTCTTTCGGAAAGTCTAATCATGCTTTTAAGACACAATTTTCTGATGTTCTTGGTAATACGGTATTCTGATTTACATTTCCTACGTTTTTATCTGTTAGTTTTAAAAGGTTTTCTTTGAAGTATTTGCTGATTAGTGTTAAGGAAATTAAAGCAGAGAACGGGAAGTGACTGGCTCGAAATCAGATAGTAAGTCAGTACTACAGCCAGGAATTGTAGATCTGTTCTGGCATTTTTTTCAGTGGTTTTATTCTCCAGATTATACTACCTACCATCTCAGAGCTGCTTTAGCTGTTAATAAATCATATCAGTGTGGTTTGCTGACTGTGGGAATGTTTTGCTAATCCAGGCTCCCTCTGCACATCATCAGTTTTATGGTATAGCTAACCCCACATGAGGCTACAATTGTGTGTTTTGTTAATTCAGAAAGTATTATTCCGTTTTACAATCACAGAAAAGCTCTTTTGTCATAACTTAAAAACATCCTTAGACAACAGACTTACTGAAAGAAGTAATTTTCTTTAAGGAGATAAACACCGATTTCTTGGTGTTTTTTCAAGTAAAAATGTATGTTTTTTATTTCCAAACATATTCTGTGGTAGACCTGCTAAAACTTACTGACACCTCCTTTTTTCTAGCATGGTAAAAGAACAAACAAGAGTGTTTTGAAAAGGCTTCATTGTGCTCACACATGCCAGTTGTTTCTGGTAGCCCAAAGAGTTAGAAATATGGTCTTGATTATCACTATTTTGCAGAATTAATATTTAATGCAAAATGTAAACAGCATAACATGTATGTAATAAAGATTTTTATTCAACAAAGAGACATCATAGTCATTTAATGAAAAAGATTATCTTCCAGACTTACTTTAACACTTGTTCTGTAAAACTGAAAGCAAAGCCCATTTCTGCCCACAGTGTTCACATTCTCTGCTGCCCAGACAGGCTGGGGTGGTACCTGTGAGTACACTAGTAATTTAATCATTTTCCTTCACTATAGTTCTGTTTGACCTCTGAGATTTTGTTTAGTTTCCCTTTAAATTCACTTATTCTGATGAAACAATGTTGTATTTAGAATATGGTGTCATAAAATAAAAGGAAGACAGAAAGATAAAGTTTGCATATTGTATTTAGATAGGATCAGGGAGGCTTGATAGAAGGAGTATGTGAGAATTAAGATATAAATGGTTTTAAGGACTTTCTTGGTCAAACAATTGGACAGCTGTAAATTAACATTATTACTTTAGAGATATACATATCATAAAGCATTTTTCTCTAGAAAAAAAAAAAAAGAAATTAGACTACTTCAGTTGGAAGGAAGTTACGAATATAATTGTGTCCAATAGCCTGACCTCACTTAAAGGTTAACCAAAAGGTAAAACCTATTATTAAAAGCATTTTCCAGATGCATTTCCAAAAAAGTATTTTCCAAATGCATCCTGGACATTGACAGGCATAGGACATGAACTACCTTGCTAGGAAGCCCGCTTCAGAGACTCTCTGCCCTCAGAATAAAGAAAAAATAAATCTCATTTTAAGTAAAAAAAGGCCACGGTGAAGTCTTTCCAAAGCCTCCCTCAGCCCTTCTTTGCAGGAGAGGTGCTCTAGTCTGCTGACCATCTTCTTTGCCCTCCTCTGGACCCTTTCTGACAGCTCTTACTTGCCCTAGGGTCCTCAAACCTGAATGGAATGCTCCTGATGGGGCCTCACAAGGGTAGAGAGGGACAATAAACTCCTTCACTCTGCTGTCCACCCTTCTTTTGATGCAGCACAGGATATACTTAGCTTTCTGGGCTACAAGTACATGCATACTGCTGGCTTAACTGAACATTTTTCCATTAGAAGCCCCAAATCTTTCTGTGCAGGGCTGCTTTCAAGGTGTTCTTCTCTCGGTCTACACTCATGTCTGGGATTCCCTGACCCAAGTGCCACGGACTTGCACATGGCCTTGCTGAACCTCATTAGGTTCACTTGAGCATACTTGTAAAGCTTTTTCATGTCCCTTTGGATGGCATCCTTTCCTTCTGTTGTATCAACTGAATTCTTTAGATTGATGTTGCCTGCAAACTTGCTGATGGTGTGCTCAATATGGAACCATGGGGGATGCCATCATTACTCACCTCCAGCTGGACATAGAGCCAATTGTCTGCCCAACTCTCTGACTGTGGCCATCCAGCAAGTTTGTTAGTCCTTCTTAAAACTGGAAGTGGTGTTTCTTCAGTGATTTCTTCAATCGCTGAGGACTTCACCTGACAGCCAAGACTTCCCAAATATGGTGGAGAATGGCTC